ATCTCTTAACAATTTGTATTACATCTGCTACTTCGCTGATTATAATCTTAAATCAGTTAATAACAAAATACCAGTATATCAGTTGTATTTTCCACATGCATTTTCTTTCACAGCATTAAATAATACAAGGGAAAGCTGCTCATGGTACCATACTTGTCTCAAGTAAGCAGAAGAGGGGCAAGCGATCCTGAGGCTAGAAAGCATTATTTCCCTGTTATGACATCTGCATTGTGGAATAGATTCCCTCTAAAAATTAGGCTGGCATGCTCAGAAATCATCTTCTAGAACCTTTTAAAGACTAAAATCTTCCATAGGATGCTTTGCCATCTAAACTTGGTTGTTTATTTTTGTAGCAATAGCAATAGCACTTAGATTTATACACCACTTCATAATGCTTTACAGCTTTCTCTAAGCAGTTTACAGAGTCAGCATATTTCCCTCAACAATCTGGGTCCTCATTTTACTAACCTCAGAAGGATGGAAGGCTAAATCTTGAGCCAGTGAGAATCAAACTGCTGGCAGTTGGCAGAATTAGCCTGCAATATTGCATTCTAAGCACTGCGCCACCACACCTCTTAAACAAATTATAGCTAATTTGTTTAAAGTGCCTAACACCTTTCCCTAATTTTTCATATTTCTCATTTACAGTCATTAATTTAATTATCCTCAGTCAAATAAATGCCTTTATTTGGCTTAAAAGTGTTTTGTCATAAAATTGTAATGTTCCTGTATTTCATCTTTATCAGTTGTCAAATAAAATTTAAAGAAAAATGAAGCTGCCCTGCAGAATTAAAATTAAGATTTAATTTAAACTGCTGATAAGAACCTTTAGATTTCTTACCCAAGACTAAGAGAGAGACTTCAACTTCCCCTGCTTCTTGTCCTTGTTCTGTAGGTGCACTAATTTCACAACGATACTTTCCAGAATCCTTTCTAGTCACATTTTTAATTTGAATGCTTGAGTGCAATATTTCAGCTCGATCTTTAAAATTACCTGGAAAACATTGAGAGAAATGAGAGGGGTGGAGGAGGAGATGATGGCAGCCAGCTAGAGACTCTTTGATAACTGTTTTCTGTGTAAAAGACTGATACGAAAGTGGTTTTCTTTTCCAGTGTATAACACATACTTGCTTTCCATTCTCCAAAGGATGTTTTCTTATGAATTATTTTACAGTTTCGCATTTTGGATTAGCTTTTTAAAAAATCAAATTAGAATTTTCAGACATTTCCGTTTTTCTTTTCCTGCTGCCTGCAGATGAAGCAATGGCTGTAACAATTTTTTGTTTGCACCTGTTCACAGTTCTTCCCATAAAGTTAGTATTGTCTTTTCAAACCGTATTCTATGTGGGGATGGGGGGGGAGTGTAGGATAGGATCAGGATTGTATTTTATATTTTCACTAAAATTCTCTTAAGGTGAATATTATATCATAATCTTTCTCCAATGTATCCAGACACGTATTTCTGCCTTCATTACCAAATCTTCTGCATTTCCCCCACTCTACTAAAGCCCCTTCCCCAAATAGAATTGCTTAAATCAGGACCCACAAAAAAAAGTGGCAGAGCATCCTAGCCAAGCTTTAATTGGACTGAAGTTGGCTTCACATATGTAAGCCGCATACTTATCTTTTCTGTGTATTCCTCTAAGCACCTGAAAGCATGCAAATAAAAAAGGTTATATCTGGTTAAGCTCACATTAGTCAGCAGTCATTTCTCCAAATAATCATGGTGATAGTTTTATCAAAATAGCTGCTAAAGTCCAAGCTCAATCCAGGACAGTCAAATTCAGATTTCCAGACAGACAGGTACGTTGTTTATTGGGTGACCAATAGTTATCTCTCAGCCCAACCTCTCTCACAGGATATGGTGAGGATAAAATGGGGAAAGAATGTACCGTATTTTCTTGAAAATCTTAGGAGGATGATGAAATATAGGAAATAAAATCTATAGGTAGCCTTTATTTGACTTCTATGTGATCCTATACTTGGGATCATTACTCTGCTAGAAACAGCAAGTTAAAGAATAAACAAACACAAAATATTTGCTTACCTACAAAGAAACCATTCAAGTAGACATATGAGACACTGGTGCCTTTAATCTTTTTCCATTCCACCCTTGCACCAATTTCTTTCTTTACATTGTGCTTACAACTCAGATACACCCCTACAGAGAAGAGGAGAAAAAGACGGTTGTTTTTTGTTCTGGTATAGCTTTTATTAAAGTTATGCAATGTAAACAACCGGCACAACATAAAAACTGATTTCAATAAGGTGATTCTGAATGCCATTTCACAAGCTATATTTTGAACAGAGATTAGTTACCTGAATGTAACATACCTTCATACTCATAATGTCTGAAATACCATGTAATTTATTGTAAGTCTTTTAAAAATGGTGGGTTCATTCTTTCTTCGACCTTTTTTTTAAAATTGATACATTTGTCAGAGCTTTTAGTAATCAAAACAATGTCTACTTACAAGTGTAATGGTGGACAGGGTAAGAATATAAATCTCAAAAGTATAAGCAAACCCTCACTTTAATTCAAGTAGGAGGTGATGGTATCCATTAAAGTAGAAGTCTGTCAAATTTAACAAGCTTTTATGCATACATACTATAAAACGGTGGAATGGGACAAATTTTGTCCATTGCATCTGAAGTGTACTAATATGGGATTTACTATGCAACGTGTGGGAAAAACTCTGGCTACCCAGAAAATTAAAATTTTCATCTTGCAGAGATGTTCATTTTGAATATTAGAACTCCTAAACTTCAGATCACTAGGAATACCCATGCTGTCATTTTTCAGGAACACTCTTTCAAACATTGTTTTCAAAGGGCATTCTTTTAAAGACAGGTTTACTGATGAGATGTTATATTCTTAGAAAATATAAACAATGTTACTACAGCAGACTTCTAGAGCCAAGTAGTGGAAACGGCTAGGCGGTGCCTTTCCTGAAATTTAGTTATCAGGAGGCCAGGGTATTTTTATTCTTTCAAGAATAAAGGTTATTAATCAAAGCATTTTTATTTTCACAATGTTCTTTTTTTCTTATTCCTTTAGTCTTTTTTAACAAAAAAATAGTTGTATTGTGTATATGTATTTTAATGAGGACTGATGAAATAGACAATATAAAATCCATCATTTAACATGCACAAAGGAAAAACCTCCCTTAATTTCTTTCACATATCTTCACCAAAAAATGTGTTTTCAAATTGAATTTCTCACTGATATTTTTCTTAAGAAAAAATAAGGAGAATTAAACAATTTAATGAAAATTATGCAGCATTATATAACATTAAAAACCATGCAAAATGTTTCTGAAATATGCAAGGATAAAAAAAACAAAATAAACATTTTAAAAAGTGAATATTGGAATGGAGAATTCACAACAAAATTTTCAAGAAGGAAAGGTGGAGACATTTTTGAGAAAATAGACTCTTTAAATCTGTTCTTTAAAAAAGAATAAAGTGATTCTAGGTCCAAGCTTTCAAAATGCTAAGGTTTCCCAAATTAATGAAAAAATACTTGAAATATTTTTAAGTATGCATTGTCCAAACTTCCATTTATTCCATTGTTCTGCAGCTATAGATTGAAGCTCCATATAAATCCTCCATTTCTATATTCCCTTTCAAGATATTCCTGCTTGAACTATCATGTAACAAGATGGAATGTATATCAAAACTATGATTTATTAATCAGAAGCCCATAGCAAACCATGATGAGCATAGACAAAGTTAAGGATAAGAGCTTGTGTTAGAAAGACAGGGCTTCAACAGAACACTTGCAGAGAAGCCAATATTGTTTCTGAAAGAAAAAAAATATGAATTGATGTAGGAAATTTTATGAAATATTTATCAAGTGGCAAAATATTTTTTTTAAAAAAATAGAGATGGATCACAAGCAAAGAATGGCAATTCTTCCACAAAGAAGTTGTCACATGCGAGTTTCTTCTTTGTTCTAATAGCAATTCACCAAGGTGAAATGGGATGGAATGGGATAACTACATAAATTATTTCTACTACCGTAATCCTTCTTGACCCTGAACACATGAGCAAGACATGTCAGATACTTATTCAGAAGTTATGTGCCAAAACATATCACATAGATTATACCAATAATCCCAATTTAAGCAAATTCACAAAAATTGGTGAAAACAGACAAATTTTCAAATGTTAGAAATCTGTCCATGTTCCTGAAGGAGAAAGACTGTAGTAAAAATGTAGGTTTATTGTGAGATTAGATAACTTGAAGCCCAAGTAGAAAAGAAAATATTTGTAAAACCTCTCTAATCCATGGAAGTAAGAGGCAGACTTTAAAGAATTGAGAAAATAGCTTCCCATAGATTCCACATCGATGGAGGAGAGATCTCCATCAATGAAATTTTTGTTACCTGTGAATTAGAAGAGCCAACAATGTCAGACTTAAAAATCAAACTAAAACATGAATATCACACAAAGCTAGGATGGAACAGGAAAAAAAATCAGTTTAGGAAACAAATTCCTATCTAAATTTTGTAATGTGAACAAATGAATTCCAACTTCCAAAAGATAAAGCATATAGATTCAATGAAATTGAGAAAAAACAGACATAATAGGAAGGACAGAATTGAAGTCTGAAAGATGGAGAGGAAGTTGCAAGTGACTTTCCCAAATATCAACTCACCCACTCAATGTATGGGATTATGTATAATGTAATTCTGGGAATACATTTATTTTCATTGTTTTAGAAGGATAAGTAGTAATATAATTTATCTACTGATAATAACTGTGAATAGTAATTAAAAAGATATATCCAAGGTTAGTGCTATGAATACTTTCAACTAGATTTAAGTATATTTTAATTTTCTTCTATTAAATAAATATGACATAATACATTTTTGAGTTTGGCTGGATCACCTTTGAGACAAGCCAAAGAACATTTGAAACAAGTATATTAATCAAGTAACTAAATGATTCTGGATGGATATTTTATGTTTCTACAACCTGCTATACTTTAATGATATGAGCCTTCCTGACTCCTTACCTTGTTTCTGTGTTTCTATGCTTTCAATATACTGTAAATATTTTTTTCTCAGAACAGTTCTATATATATATATATATAAATATATCCAGTGGTGGGATTCAAATACCTGAACAACCGGTTCTCTGTGTGGATGCTGCTTCCGGAAGTCCGTTCTGGGCCTGGGCCTCAGAGGCCCAGAATGGACTTCTGAAAGTGGCGTCCACACACTTCCGGTAAGCCATTCTGCACCTGGGAGGCCTCCCCCGGGCCTCCGAGGTTCAGAACGGACTTCCAAAAGCGGCATCCATGCACTCCCAGTAGTCCGTTCTGGGCCTTGTGAAAAAGGGCTAGGGCTTCAGTCAGTTCACCAAAGTCAACAAAAAATTAGATACCGGTTCTGCCGAACTGGTGCGAACCGGCTGAATCCCACCACTGTATATATCTAAATATTACAGTCATACTATACCTTCAAATTCTCTTGCTGTAACAAGTTCATTGTCTGAGTACACAGTGATTCCATATGTTTTATAGTCTGAAAAGAAAGAAAAAACTTACATTAAAATGTTCATTATTTTTATACTGACATAAAAAAAACCCTCCCTTTCTTTGCAATCATACGTTCAAGGCTGCTTGGTGTCATTTAGAGTAAATTTATGGATTCCTATGTGGAATCAAGGGTTTAGATTTTTTAAATTTATCTTATTCTTTTTTGAAACTAGGTTTATGTTGTATGTATAGAAAGGTTTTTCTTGTACTCATTTTATGTTACAAGCCAACCCTGTTTATTATTTGCATTACATCAATTTTCTTCTTTCATTTTAAGATGTTGAACTTGCTTTGTGTCAGAATAACTAGGCTTCATTTTGCAAAATTATTTTAAATACTTTAGATTTTAAAAAAAATCACATTATTTTTATTATTAGGAAACACAAAAGAAGAACTGATAAACATACAAGAGACAGAGTACACACAGATAGAGCTTTGTTTGTTTTTAATGGCATAGCTGCCAAACAATGTTTGAAGTCAAATAGTCGCTCATCTCAAAAACCATTGCCCAACTGAGACAATGTGTACGATACAGAGGATATTTCTGTTTGATCACAGGGAGCCCATATCAATTCATAGGGGGTTGTTGTGAAAGAACAAAAAACAATCCCACTTAACTTCTTGGATATTAAGACAAAAAATGCAAGAAACATGAACAGAACCCAACTAGTTGCATGCAGTTGCTTCCTCTGTGCCCATCAAGGGCAGGAAGGGACCTCGGAGGTCTTCTGGAACAACCTCCTTATACCATCTGGGACAAATGGTTGTCAAATCCTTTCTTTAAAACCTCCAGCAAAGGAGCACCGACAACTCCGGGAGGCAAGCTGTTAAATTTATTACTCATTCTCCCTCTGGTAAGATTCCACTCATTGCTTCTTGTCCTGCTCTAGGGTGCTATGGACAAATAAATCAACCCCTTCTCCCCTTTCAGTTACTATGAAATAAATGAATGGATTCTGAAAATTAATTAGATACAATCAACATTGTTTTTAGTGCATAGGAATGCCTACAAGAAGTGCCACTTGCCTGCAAGAAACTACTGGAGGGACCGCAAAATAGACAAACAGAATATGAAGAAGCTAAAGTGCTCTGAGACTTTAGAATTCACACAGACGAGCATCTGCATACAACATCCCAGACTTAACAGTTGTTGATAAGAAAGAGAGAGAAAAATTGGATAGTGGATGTGACAGTACCTGGAGGCAGCAGAGCAGAAGAGAAAGAATAGAGAAAACTGAGAAAATAATAAAATACAAAGACCTGCAAATAAAAGTAGAACGACGGTGACAGAAGAAAGCAAAGATAGCATCAGTGGCAATAAGCATTTTGCGTGCAATTCCAAAACATCCAGGGCATCACTTGAACACCATTGGTATTGACAAAATCCCTATCAGTCAATTGCAGACAGCAGCTTTACTTGGAACACCTTATATCCTGTGACGATACCTCTAATACCATAAAACAATATCATTTGCCTATCCCAGTTGTTTGGAAGGACTCAAAGGTGGACAAAAATGTCAATCTAAACCATAACAATAGTTTTATATATATTTATTGTTTTTAGTTCTGTTGTTTGCCACCCACAGTAACTTGTTTGTAACTTGGGCCGCTATACATGTATTTTTAACAAATAAACAAACATTGAGTTATATAAGGCATACACAGTAGATATGATATTTTAACCTTCTCTATTGCATTCTGTATGTAGATTAGTGAGATCTTAGATTCATTTCACACACACACACACATTTAATTTTGACAAATTAAGTGAAGATTCAAACTTATCTAGACAACTATGCATTTTTTAAAAAAATATTTGAAGCAGTTTTATGGCATCCATTCATACATTTATTATTCTGTTTTAATTTAAGATTCTTATGTCAAATAAGCTAAGTCTGGTTTTTTCCCCCCATTCTACAATAGAGAAAGTATAATAAAATATAGCATAAAAAATGCCTACCCATATAAATATGGTACATTTTGTGAAGACTTTTGTTCCTTGTTTCCTTTTTTCAAAGGAAAAAAATATTTATATAAACCCTTTCACCTTGTGTTATTTGGAAAGATCTTTCATAACTATGGACAAGTTCCAAAATATCTAACCAGAATCACTTACAAAACTGTGACTAGAAAAAAGGAGTTCAATGCTCAATCCTCAGATTAAAATTAGTGGAAAAAATGAAAATAGTTTTAAAATTTAATGAGCATCACCTACACAAATATCCTCAAAAATTAAGAACTATAGGCTATTTTTTTGGTAACCAAAAACAATTAGAAGCATTGAGAATCTTGATAAGTTTTAATGCTATCTCTTCCAAGTCTCTTTATAGATATTATAACAGTTTTAAACAGTTTTTAAAAATTCTTTTGACAAATGTAATGGGTAAATATGTTGACAGTTATTTTTTTTAAACAGAGAATTTTTCTGCCAATCCTGTTTTCCTGAAAATGAACAGGAAAATAAGTTAATTGGTTTAGCATTGGAAAAGAATAGATACTGTTATACTGTATAGAGTCTAGGACTAAAACAAGATTGTGGGAAAGGTTACCAGTTGATAAAACATATATATCAAAGTTTCTTTTCCCAGCATTTCATTCAGGTGGGTAGATGAATTCTATTGTTCTGTGTTTTGGGGGAGTGGGGTTATTGTTTATCCTTGACACTGGGGAGATATGTGTCATAGGTTTTTTTCTGATGAACAGCTAAATAAATCCACATACATACACACATACTTTTAAAATACAAATTTAAAATGCCTTAAAAGTATGCATTTTTCATTTTAAACTGAATAAGTAGATACAGCTTAAGACATTTTTAGAACAAGTCTCACATAAATTGTATCCAATGATATGTGTGAGAATACGGTATACGTGTCTCTGTATACCGTATCTGCATCTACATCTATATCACATGGGTTTATGCGGTCGTTCAAATTCAGTTCCAAAAAAGATATTCTGGAATGTGCGGGAGCATCAGAACAGATTTGAAACTTCTGAAAGGAGCTGCTAAGCAATCCCAGAAAAATATATTGTCCCAAACACTTTGAAGCACCTTTATGGAAGTGAATCCAAAGCAGTAGACAGATCATACTTATATCAACACAAACACATATAAAGATATAAACGTATCTAAATATTGGATACATAAATTTGTTCCCTATTATGTCAGGCAGAATGAAATAATTATTTGTATCAGTAGAGTGAATACAAATGCTAAATACGTCTGTAATTGCTTTCTCACTTTTACTTTGCAAATTACAGTGTTACTATTATCCCAAAAGGACCACAGTGTAGAATTTATTTTCCTCGTTTATACATGATATCTTGTGCAAAGGGTAACATAGCTATTCTATCAACAGAAATTTTATTTTATGAATTAAAAGCCACAAAGTCTTTATATAGTATTTAATGATTGCCCTCTTTTGTACAGATATCTGTTTCATAACAGATTTAAGGAAAATGTTTTGTACAGATATCTGTTTCAAAACAGATGTTCACAGAATCAAACTACATAAAAATTGTCATGCCTAGTACGGCTCTTTAGTTCCAGTTCCATAGTCTTTTTCCATGCATTATTGTTTCTACTGCATTTTTTACTAGATAAAATATGCATCGGAAATGTGATTTAATCATCAGACCCAGCATATTTTAAGTAGGATTGATCTAGCACAAACCATGAGTATTTCAGATAAGGGTAAGTCAGGGAATGGGGACTTGCAAAAATCCTTGAAGAAGAATTTGTTACATCATAGCACAAGTAGACTCCTATTTAAACATACACGCACTTCATAATAAAGACTACAAATGCTTCCACAGAGGCCCAGTGTCCTTTTTTTGAACATGTTGTTATCACCCCAGCTGCAGTGCTGTCTTCCAATGCAGCTTGCAGTCTTGAGAACCAAAAAGCATCCAGAAATTATTTCAGCAGCACTTGTTGCTATTCTCTAGAGCAGTGATGGTGAATCTTTTAGAGACCGAGTGCCCAAAAACTGGCCCCACCCCCACTCCACCCCTGCCCTGCCCCTGCTCCACCTCCACCCCTCCTCTGCCCCGCCTGCCCGCAGGGCCACTCACCGCCTCCAGGACCCGCCGCAGATCACCCAGGTAGCCCAGCAGCGCCATGGCGGCCATGCCCTCTGCCCATGCCCCACAGCATCAACTGTGCACGATGGGGCGTAAGGGCAGAGTCTTGTCTATGCTGCCTAGCTGCCATGTCCTTGACTGTGCTGCTCCGTGAGGGCCACACTCGGGGGCGACTCTCCTCCAGGGGGGCTGCTGGTGAGGAGGGGGTCGTGGAGGAGTCGAGGCTGGGGCAATGGCACGTGTGCCCACAGAGAGGGCTCCAAGTGCCGCCTCTGGCACGCATGCCATAGGTTC